GGTCTGTGTGAACCCCATCTCTGTAGCGGCTCCCTGCCCAGCTCAGGCGTTACTGGGGAGGGTGGGCAGCGCGGCGGGGGAGCACCCACACCAGACCCTCCTCGGGGTGGTGGCCAGCAATATTTTGACAGAGCTATCGGGAGCCTTGATGCAGGCTCTACCCAACGCCTGCCTGCGGCACAGCACGCCCGGGGTCTGTTTGCACCCGCCTTGGCCCATGTGCCTCCGTCCCAGCTGCTTCCAAAATCCACTGCACCCTCCTCCTAATCCATGGCGGTGATCCACTTCATGCAGCGGATTTTTTTTTATTTTTTTTTGATAATTGTCTCTTCTCTTTCCTTCTGTCTCACTCCCTTCTCTTCCTTCTCGCTGTCTTCCCCAGGCCCTCCCTGGGAAGCCCTCTGCTCTCCCTCCAGTGCTTCCAGAGGTTAAGGAGTTTCTGTGCGTGGTTTTAAAGCGTCGTAGGTTTTTCCGTGGAGGTCTTGCTGCGCTTTCCTTGGGATGCTAAAGCCCAGGCTCCTGTGGTGAACGGGATCCCTGAACTGGTCTGGCTTAAACCCAGCTCTGTAGCTGCTCCCTGCCCAGCTCAGGCGTTACTGGGGAGGGTGGGCAGCGCGGCGGGAGGGTTGGCCAGCCGGGCGGGGGAGCACCCACACCAGACCCTCCTCGGGGTGGTGGCCAGCAATATTTTGACAGAGCTATCGGGAGCCTTGATGCAGGCTCTACCCAACGCCTGCCTGCGGCACAGCACGCCCGGGGTCTGTTTGCACCCGCCTTGGCCCATGTGCCTCCGTCCCAGCTGCTTCCAAAATCCACTGCACCCTCCTCCTAATCCATGGCGGTGATCCACTTCATGCAGCGGATTTTTTTTTATTTTTTTTTGATAATTGTCTCTTCTCTTTCCTTCTGTCTCACTCCCTTCTCTTCCTTCTCGCTGTCTTCCCCAGACCCTCCTGCCTGCACGCTGCCTGCAGCCTGCCCTGCCTTCCCACCCTGCGGTCTCCGAGAGCCGGGGCGAGGGCAGCGCCGTCTCCGGCCGGGGGGTGGATGGAGCGGAGCAGATCTCCGTCTGTGGTACCCAGCTCCTGACTAATAGCTCGTCAGCGAGGCCGGAGGTGGCTCTCATTCTCCTTTGGCTCCTCAAAGGGAAGAGGAATGGTGGCTTGCGCCTCCCGTTCTGCCTGACGAGTTTTTGGGTGCGCTGGCCCGTGATGCCTGCTGTAGAGGTCTCTGGGGAACGAGGAGGAGATCAGGAGGAAGGGATGGGGCAAGGGGGAGCTCCTGCTGTCTTTCTGCTCCTCGAATGGGTGCTGAGCTGATGCACATGCTGCGAGCTTTCCCAGGGCACGTGAGGTAACGGATGGCAGGGCTGAAGCCTGCTGAGACTTCCAGTTCTGGGCTCCCCAGTTCCAGAAAGATGAGGAGCTACTGGAGAGAGTCCAGCAGAGGGCTACGAGGATGAGGAGGGGACTGGAGCATCTCTCCGATGAGGAGAGGCTGAGGCAGCTGGGCTTGTTCAGCCTGGAGAAGAGAAGGCTGAGAGGGGACCTTAGAAATGCCTCTAAATATCTGCAGGGTGGGGGTCAGGAGGACGGGGCCAGACTCT